GAGCGGTTTCTGAGGGAGAGCGCCTGTGCTGTGCAGCTGTCTCCCACAAGGCGCCCTCTGACAAGTCTGTTTTCTGTCTCCCCTCAATGACACTGTGGCTTCATGGAGTCTCACTGCATGCCCAGCGCTTAGCACAGGGCGTCCCTGCACGGCTGTGTTGTTCCCTGCATGGCTGCATTAGGCTTTCCTTTTCTTTTCCTGCGAGTGCTGCCTCGTCTTTCCTTCCTCTCGTCTCAGCAGCAGGAAGAGCAAGTCCTTTCTCTGCCTCCCCGCTGCCTGGCTCCTTCAGCTATCACCAGCCATCCGCCCTACCCAGCCCTCACTCTGGTGCCACAATTGCTACTTTCCTGGCTTCTTCACAGGGACCTGACATACCCTTGAGTCTCCTATACCTGAAGGAAACCTCCTCGCCATCCTTCTAAGCAAGCAGTTTCTGTCTTGTCACTTCCTTTCCGGCTCACGTCAAGTCTCGCAAAGAGGAAGGGGCTAGGACTGGCAGTACAGCAAGAGAGAAGACAGGGAGGACAGGCTCTGTGTCCAGCTTCCTCCTAAATGCTACTCAAACGACCCACAAGGACAGCGGAGGAAAGCCGGTGACATGCTTCTGGAAGATGGAAAACAGAAGTGAGTGACAGCTGACTTAGCCTGGAGACACCCAAAACTTAAGCTCCTGCACAGTGAGAGGCTGACAAGCAGTCAGCTGAGCAGTGTCTGCAACGCTGGAGGAGTCCAGAACCGAACCGCAGGCCACAGAGGCAAGGACAGGCCAAGACAGGGAAAGGCTGGGAGTGTGCACAAGGTGCAGGAGACGCCACTGCCTCCCCTCACACCTGGCAGAGGACGGTGGGTTCCTTTCTGGAGAGCTTGACAAGAACACCTCCATGCTGGGGACATGGGCCTGAGTGGTGGTGAGGTGGCACCCTGAAAACGAGCATTGAGGGAAAGCCTGCAGAGCTCCCAGTGCCTCTCCCCAGAGCCCCGTGTGAGGCCTGCCACTTTACAGAGCTCAGCCTCACTTCCAAAGAGTGGCTCAGCTTTTCCGGCCAAGATCACATGTGAAGAAAATCTCTTGAAACACAGACACCAAAACAGAGGAAAGAGGGAGTTGGGAGAAATGGAGGCAGTAAAGGGAAGGAAGAAAACGTAAAAAAAAAAAAAAAAAAAAAAAGTATTGAGCCTGTGAATGAACAAGAAGTTGAAAAATATATATATATAGGAAATAAATATGATGGCAAAAAAATTTTTAATAGAAGAAATGCAAGATAAAGCAGAATATAAAGACCTGGAGGAAAGGAGTAAATATAAGAGCACTGGAGGCTGAAGTCAGGACACTGACTGGAGGCTGAAGTCAGGACACTGGAGGCTGAAGTCTCTCTTTCAGGAGAGCCAGAAAGAGAACAAAGAGGAAGGAGGGGGAAGAAAATGCCCCTGCAATCCAGGATAAGGAGCATTCAGATGGAAATTCCAGCACAATCAATGAAAACAGAGTCTACATCATCAGAAAATTCTAAGAGCCTCCAGGGAAGACCTCGAGTCACACACAGGGGACCTGGATCACAGCACACTGACTTCTCTTCTGCAAGAACGTGGAAAGTTAAAAGACAATGAAGAAATGTCTTCAAAGTTCTGAGGGAAATCATTTCTAGAATCCTCTACCCAACCACGTTATTACCCAAAAGTGGGAGGGAATACACTTCAGCAAACTGCAACTGTCAGCCCAGCCCGAGGATGGGACAGGAATGAGGGTGGCCTGGATGGCAGCGACAGAGAGCCCAGACTAGCACTGGGCAGGGAGGACCTTCCAGCAGATGGTCAGGACCCAGGTTCTGACCACGCTCTCAGAAAATGTGAGGCTGAATTACAATCCTAGAAACCTAAGCAAAATGCAAAACGAAAAACCAAATTTGAAGCAATTTTGAATTTCAAGAAAAACAAAAAGTTGTCTAAGAAAGGAAATGTAATCAAAGTACACTCTGTGTCTCATCTGAGAGCCATGTTTGCATGGTTCTAATGCCAAAATAGATCTGGGTCCGGCCCAAAACTGTGATGAGTCTGTTGGGAGGATGGCGGGATGTGGTAGGAGAGCCAAAGGTCAGGCTTCTACAGTGATGGCAGCAGCAGCACACGCTACATGTCAACAGACCACACAGGACCATGTGTGCTGGTAACCCACCGCGGTCTCCGAGGCAGGCTGCTGCTGTGACTTCAGTTTACAGTTGAGGAAGCTGAGGCACAGAGAGGTTATATGATCTGCCTAAAGTCACACAGTTAAAGTCTGTGCTTTAGAACCACTATGCTTACCCACTTTTTGAGTAGAAAAGCAAGATATGATTTAAGCCATCAAGAAGTAGCAGTGTAAGTAACAATACGGAGAGAAATGCCAAACACAACAGTTAAAAGCCTTTTAAAAGTGTTGCCTCCAGGGAGTGGAAAGGGGTAAGAAATTTCATTTTTCTTATAAAGCGATCTATTGACATGGACACATGCCATTTTGAAAAACTGGATCAGGGAAAGCCAGGCAGGCAACTGGCTGTGGAGAGCTGGTCTGCAGTGTGCCTACGGCCCTGCCGGGCTGGCTGGTCCTAGATCGCCACCAGCCTGGGACTCGGCTTCCTCACCTGCAGGCGCTGGACTGAACGATTTCCAAGTTCTCTTCTGGCTCTTCACGTTCCAGCAACAAACAAGACCAGTGATTTAGAGAACATGTGTGCTGTAACGACAACCAGACAGAGTGATGCGACAGAATAAGTAGGCCCTGCCTACTACTCCTGCCCCTCCAGGTCAGGCGCTGGCGGGGGCAGGAGCCACCTGGATGAGGGGAGAGAGGGTGCAGGAGTTGAGGTGGGAGAGTTGAGTCTGCAGCACGAGATTAACAAGGACCCTCTGGGTGGTGCACTGGGGACAGACCCCAGGGGAACAAAGAAGACGGGGAGGCAGGCAGGCATTGGGGGAGGAGAACAGGGTGGGAGACGTGGCAGGAAAGTGTGTTGGGTCTCGCTGGGGGCTGCTGGGATGTAGGTGAGGGGAGGGATGTGAGTCCTTCCAAATGCTGAGTCCCCAAGGCAGCTGCACAGCAGGGTCCAGACCGTCATCGCCCCCCAGGTGCTCGTCTTTTGGGATGGCAGCCGCTTCCATCCAGTGCCCTCTCCAGACACCAGCGCTGCTCTCAGCCGGTGCCTTTTGTCATTTTCTCGTACACCCTGCTCAGTTTCCCCAGCAGCTGAGTCCTGGCAATTTCAGGCCTGAGCACTTGCCTCTTCTCTACCCTCAGCACCGTCCTACCCCAGGCTCTCCTTAATTCATCTCAACTTTCCTATCCCAGCATGTCCCCAGGTCTAATCTGTGTCCCCACCCTGGCTAGGGTGTCCCAGGACTATCACATTGCCAGGCCCACAGGGCACACATATCTGGCTAGCCTCGTGTTTTTCCCACGGCCACACCTTTCCTAGGGCAATGTGCCTGAAATCTGGGGAACACTGATGTCGCACAGGCTGGTGACAGAACCAAGAGGCAGCAGACATGCCTCTTGAGCAAAACTAAGGCCTGGAGCCCCCCAGAGCAGCTCTTGTTTGCTGAGAAGAAAACAAGTCCCATGAGTTCAGTGTGACTGCTTCAGGGTCTACTTGTCCACAATTGGTGGCAAATGCCAGTGTCCAGGGCCATTTCTGGCGGGTCACGAGCCACTGCTGGTACCTGGACAGCTGCATTTCTTGTCTTCCTGCACCTGCAGTCCCATCTGCAAAGCCCATGTCAAGGAGTCGCCCCACAGGCTGACCCCTCATGGCAGGGGCACACAGGGCAACGGAGGGAGGGGCTGGGAAGAGCCGCCCCCACCCCTGTAATACTCATTTCCATTTTTGTTTGAGTCACTTTCAGGCAAATCACTTCTGTCCTTATGTAACAGTCTGTGGCCCAGACCCAGGCAAGTAGTAAATATTTACCTTCACGCTGGAGCCAAGATCGCTGCGGGGAGTCCCACGAAGCACCACTGCCCTCTAAGACCTTGGAAAGGGAAACAGCAGAAGGTGTGGGTGCGGGTGCTGGAGCTCCGCTGGGTCACACGGCCAGCACCCGAGTGGGAACTCAGAGCTGAAGCCTGGGTTCTCACTGCAGCTGGATAACAGGTGTTTACAAAAGTGTATGTATTTTTTTGGCTTATTTCTAATTTTAATAGTTATTGGCAATTTTCAAAGTCCTTTAAGAAACACTGAAAATTGCTCAAGAAAATGGCAGTTCTGCAGGGCTCAGGTAGCAGGGCAGGCTGTTGAGACAGGTTTGACAGACTGTCCTAATAAAAGGAGTGCCTTTTCCCAGAACAGCAGCTCTAGAGGGCGGCCACCTCGCCTGGAACCTCCGCAACTTCCGCACCCACCGCACAAGGGCTGAGAACAGTGAGGTAGGGGCTGTGCTGGGCTCAAGAACAGGGGCAGTTGCTCACCTGGACAGGGTGTATCTGGGAGGCCCGTGCTAGGACCGGGACAGGGCGTCTTCTGGCCTTGAGCTGCTACGATGGGGGTAGGGGTTGGGAGGGGTGGAGGCTGGTGCCCTCGGAGTTGGGGAGGCTCCGCCGTCAGCAGGTCAGGACTGGGTTCCTGGGAGGAGGTGGCCTGTGTGGGCGAGGCAGGGTTGCCGCTGCAGGGCTGAGGAGTATCAGTCCATCCAGGTGGCGCGGGGAGGCTAAGGGCGCGGTCCTCCTGCCTAGAACGCAGGTGTCCTGTCTGCTACAGACACGTCAAGGAAGTCGCCAATGTGTGCCCCTTTCTCTAGCCTAGGGATTGGCAAACGACACCATGTCCACAGGTTAGAGCCGACCTGGTGCCCGTTTGTGAAAATGGCTTTGACATGTTTAAATGGCCGAAAGTCAAAATATCTCATCGTGTGTGAACACTGTAGGCCATTCTCATCTGCGTGGGAAAGTAACGCCTTATCTGAGCACAGCCAGGCCCATTCACGTGGTACGGGCTGTGACCCGCAGAGGGGAGCGGCCCCAGTGCAGGCTCTCAGGGCGGGAGCCGGGGCCCCAGGTGCTGACCTGTGGCTTCCCTTCTCCCCGCAGCTCTGCCCGGATGGCCCTCGTCTTCCTGTACGGCACCTTGAAGCGGGGTCAGCCCAACCACAGGGTCCTGTGGGACGGCGCCCACGGCTCCGCAGCCTTTCGGGCGCGCGGCCGCACGCTGGACCCCTACCCGCTGGTGATCGCGGGGGAGCACAACATCCCGTGGCTGCTGCACCTGCCTGGCTCGGGGCGCCGCGTGGAGGGTGAGGTCTACACGGTAGATGAGCGGATGCTGCGCTTCCTGGACGACTTCGAGAGTTGCCCAGCCCTGTACCAGCGCACGGCGTTGCAGGTACAGCTGCTGGAGGAGGGGGCCCCGGGCGCGGAGGAGCCGCCGGCGCCCACTACGGTGCAGTGCTTCGTGTACAGCAGGGCCACCTTCCCGCCGGAGTGGGCCCAGCTTCCGCACTACGACAGCTACGACTCCGAGGGGCCGCACGGGCTGCGCTACAACCCCAGGGAGAACAGATGAGGGGGGCAGGCAGGGTGGGCCTACGCCTGAGAGCCCTGGGGCTCCAAGATGTGCCCAGCCCATGGTGGGTGAAGGCCGAAGCAGAACAGGGCCTTTTCCAAGGAATCAGCGGGAGAAGGAACCAATCTTTCAGTGGCAGCTGATTTTACAAATAATGTTGACACACAAATAGCAAGGTGGTTCCCTCCCATCTTTCCACCTGGTAGG